GTGATGACACCAGGTCCTCTGGTTCTATTATGTCTAACCTTCCGTTTCCGCTTCAGACGACTTCTAATATATGCAGCAGTTGCCTTCCTGATACTGTCGCACCTTCAAATGCATCATGAATCCCTTAGAAACGTAGCTTTTAAATTCACGCAGTATTGTTCATACTCGAACTACCAACTCGAACTACTTTCCCGTTATTGACTTTCATGGCAGTTGATGACGGAGAAAAACCTAAGCACGATGGAGTCAAAGATGAAACTTCGAAGAACGCGAACATCGCTCACTTTGCCATGACTCTCGACAGTTCGCCAGGCAGGTGGCTGCATGACGGCTGCTGCAAGGCGAAATCTTGCAACGAATCGGTCTCTTCGCCTCTAATATGAGGTCATCTCATAACTTCTTGCCGCAAAGCCATAATTCCAGTAGATTCGCTAACGCCCTGACTTCACCATGCATGCGTCATCTCAGCGCTGGCGTACCGAAGCAAGACATTGATCATCTTGCAACCCAGTGTCAACACACTGCAGAGCTTTCATAACCGTCTCAAAGGCAGTTCCTCCATATCAACGCTACAGTTTCATTCTTAACAGAGAAGCTCCTTTTCCGGCGTACGTGTGTGCTCTGTATATAGTTCGTACTTGTCAAAACTTGCACACATATTTATAAATGAACCTGGTTTTACAGGTTTACTCGCAAACTACTCGTTTTCAATACCCCCCCCAATAAGAACAACACTCACTTGTCACTACTCCGGATTAACACGTAGTAGCGCACAGCCCCTTTGCTTCTTGTAACGTAGGGGAACGCTTAAGCGGACCATGGCTCCATGATATCTTGGCAACTACAATACGTGACAGATATATCAGTTGGAGTTCGAACATGTATTTGTTCGACTCAACAATTGGTGTTACTTTCTGCCCATGCACTGAAGGAACTAAAATGCCACAGAGCTGTGACCTGCTCAAACAGTCTTCTACGATACTAGAAACAAGCAGATGGAGCGTTATAACGCGTCAATCCGGGAAAATGACAGAAGAATCTTACACATTCTTCGATCTTTCATAAAGCAAGCCAAAAATCTGTACCAGTGATGGGAAATAAACAAGGCGAGACAGGAAAAACTAGGCTTGAAATGGCCTATCTTAAAATAGATCACCAATTCAGAAACAAGATCGCTAATTCTCTTGCTCCGAATCCAAAGTGAAGCCTCCCTTCGTTGACCTCTGCAAAATCACTTAATCCTTAATGAAGAATGATTCGTAAACTGGGTTTTCAGTAATCAGCCTCAATTGAACAGTAACAACATAAAGAAAGTGCCGCATCAAAGAAAGTATTCACAAACTACCTCCTGATGATTCTATATTAACTGAGTTTAAAAACTTTTATTCTGTGTAGAAGCTGCTGAAATGGGCTTTCTGAAAGGAATCGTTGCACTGACGCATCTCGGCACAGTTCGAAGTTCAGAGATATCCTTGAAGAATGGAAGTGTGGAGTAATTGTCCCGACATTTAAAGGGAGTCAGGCGACCGAGTATTTGAACTGTCGTGGTATCGCACTACGCATAACTCCCAGGAGCTTTTCTCTGCGAATGTTTTGGAAAAGCTGAGGAAAGCAATCGCAGAGAGAGAGGGGGTCACCTAAATGAAGCAGGCTTCCAGATGGGAAATATCTGCCCGGACCAATTTTTGCCCCTTGTTTGGAGCAAGGAAATTGTGATAAGAGGTCAGATTCCAATTCGGAAGATACCTGTTGCGATTGCCGAACAAAAAAGTAAGTTATCCTTCACGTTGATTTTTAATTCCATCATTGCCGGGCCCAAGCTCAGATGAGATAGGAGAGTGGTTGGTGTCTCGAGTAAATCTCTGCCATCGGATCCTCATGTTACTGTTGTCATCCAACGCTTTACTGGTTCAGTGATGGCCCGTAGCAACAGATCTTTGAAAGTGTAAAGAACAGCCGCACTCGCATCAACAATACCTGCGTGAAGTTATTGCGGTTAATGCAAACAATGGACATCTTGTTATGGACACCTTCTTCATGCATCAGTGTATTTGATGTAGGAAAACGTGTGTACAGAAGTAAAAGATCGATTTGATAATCGTATCATCTGACGTACCACCATCTGCAACGGATGCTCCCGTTAAGACAGGAGATGAGCTACCAGCTTATCATTGCCTTCAGCTGCAAATGGTTGAGTACTGTGCGAATACCTGGCAGCATAAAGAACCGGAGAATATACTCTTCTGAGAGCACTATTTTCTGTGTATTCGAGGAAGATACTTGAACACAACACCGCATATGGCTTTAGCAGATGATAGTGGCTACAGCAGACGTTAAATCTGAGTGGAAACAGTTGAAGGGCGGCTTAATCAGGTCTGTCTTCAAGTGGTTTAAAGTGGGCGAGCCTGCCGCGT